TTTTATATCTAATTGCTGAATGATTACATGGAGATTTACTTGCGCCAAATCCCATATCGATATGTCAATCTCGTGCATAATAACAGAAGATATTAGGGTTATCAAAGGCCAGTTAATATATTATTTACTCGATGTTTTATCAATTAACAATCAATTTATAAAAATCACTTGGTTTTAACGCTCCAAGAGCAATTATTGATTTGTTGATCTAATGCATTTAATGCGTAATTTTTATATACATACTAGGAGAATGTGCCTGGAGCTAAAAATTTAACCTGTAACATAGGATTATCATACAATGTATTCAACCAATCATCACCGCAGAAGAACAGACAGATTTAGCACGTGATAATAATGGTTACTTGCTGTCGTAAAAACAGAGTGTCCACCGCTTCGCTCGGACAATTATACGTAAGTTTACTATTCTTAATTATTTTTAATATATCATTGCGGAGTTTTTTCCTGGAAAAAACCTGCGGGAAATGCATCTATCCATACTTAGTGTTAACTCTGTATATATTCGTTAAGTAAATAGCTAAGCTTTTAATTGGTTCATTTTTCACGAAAGTATTCTCTTTAAAAATCTAAAAATAGATATTAACAATCTCAGGTACAAATATAATATTAGAACAAGGTGAAACCTGAGTTGTGAGCTAGTAAAATCTGCCACGTATATCGGGTTTAATTATGTTTTTTTATTATATAAAGTGGTTTTCACCCTCAAAGTGACGATCATAGCGGATTTAACTAATCCACAACTCAGGTTCGCCATGAAGGATCTGAGTACATCCTTTAATTTCATAATAGATTTCCGAGGGTAAGGATATTTCCGAGGATAAGGAGAATTCGGGAATTTCCGAGGACATGGAGAATTCTAAGAATGAGGGGATTTTCGAGGACAAGGAGAATTCCGAGAATAAGGGGATTTTCGAGGACAAGGAGAATACCGAGAATAAGGATTATTAATACATAATGCCAATGATCGTCTGCCAAAATGTAAGCATCCTTCCTTGCAAGGAACTTTTCTCCATTTAATTGTAATATAAATAAGCCATGCTTTGGTATATCTATTTTTTTCTTTAGAAGGCAAAAACTTTATGATTGTTAAAACATGTTAAAATAACATTAAAAATTAAAAAATTAAAGATTATTGGAACGTATGTGTAAGAATAATCCTTTTAAGCACTACCCTAAGATTAATTGTTAGATTATAATCCAGATTATCATAAAAAGAGATGTAGAAATGCGGGAGCTTTAAGAATTGCTTATAAGCGTTTAGGAACACCCATATTAGCTGGGAAAAGACGACGAATGTATCACTTTATACTATCGTCAAGATTTGTAAGGCCATTAAACTCTCTGTTCATTCGGGTTGAAAGATAGGTTAATGTACCTGCAGAAAAAGCGCAAGGAATCGGTAGAAAAGTATTAATTTATTCTAATATTTGTGTAGGTATCCGCTTCTACTTATCGTGAATCTCATTATTTTACACTTTTTTTAATCATAATTTATCAGTCGAATATTACACAGTCTGGCGACTTATAGAAAACAATTATTTGGGCCGATGGTTTCTTTCGTTATCGTGATAAATATCATTATGCAATAATTGTGCTGGCTATTTTTTTAATCTATTTAATCGTTTCCAATGCGCAATATTATATGAAATAATTGCACATATCCGCATTTATTTTCTTTTTTTTTCGTTATGTACTGTCAATTTTTATGCAGTACATTGAAAGTTTGTTACGTAGTATAATATACAGGTTCACGGGTTTTTATTATTTATTCGGTTTGTGAATATGACGATCACTTGTCAGAGTAATTTAAATAACTTTTAATTATTATAAAAGGCTAATTCTTTATATAAAAGGTTTAAATATCAAACTTCAATGGAAATGATAACATTTTTTTTAACTTTGCATTACCACATCAACCAGGCAGATGAAGCCACGCACATTCGTTATCTCTAGTTATTAAAGCATAAAATGAACATAAGGTTACCCTTTATTGCA